AGTATGTGTGTTTGAGTTCAGTAAATAGAGAGGTTGAAATATGAAGTGTTTAAGATGAAATGAAGTAAATTTCGTGCTGAAAATATGATTTCTGGGCAAGGGGAATCGATACCCATTCAAGGGAATCGGTACCCATTCAATGGGGAATCGATATCCCTCAAGCGAACCAGAAATTCCAGAATCTCATAGGGGAATCGATTCCCCCACAGGAGGGAATCGATTCCCCCTAAAAGAAAAATGTGAATATTGATTTAATAAGTTCGTTTAAGTTGCTAGTATCCAATTACAATGTGTAGGTATCTAATGATTGCCTCAAAATGTACATTTATGTAAATTCTGCGCGTAAAGCAATTCCGGAACATTTGGCAAGTAAGATCGATCAAGGGAAAGATAAGAGATTGGAATTGACTAGTGAGGCCAATGTGAGTGCATACTAGTGAGATGTAACGTTTAATGGAAATAAGACTTGCGATGAGTTTATTTCCTAGAGTAATATGCATGAAGTCATGGACATGATTATGTGTTGTTATAATTATATGTGATTATTTGTATTACATTGATTGTATGTATGCATGACTAAAGATAATGATATGCTTTGTATATGCTATATGATTTATGTAAAACTTTATTATGTAATAATGGAAAAACATGGAATAAGTTATATGATAGAGTCATAAGAAATGAAATGAACACGAGAGAATAAGATAATCAAGTATAAGTCATATGATATGGTATAAGTGATTATACGAGAAATGTTAGGAGACTCTAAGAGAATAGTATAAATTCGAGGGCATAAATAAGGATACATAAGTTATATAGGGAAGATTGATAAATTAAAGGAAACTATGGTTTATGTATTATAGTGAAGAGCTACAAAGTTTTATTAAAGAGTATTGTGGAAGTCATGAGAAATTGAACTAAATAAATAGATGGTTTATGTGAGTGGAAAAGGAAAATGATATAAAATAAGTGGAAATTATTTATAAGATAGAATGAGACTAATTGAACCTGTAATATAAACTTTATAAAGGAGTACTTGGGTAAAATCATTATATGATACAATTATAGAGTATTACTATACAAATTATATTAAAATGTGATATATGAGAATATGAGTAAGTTTATAGGTTATTGATAGGACATATAAGAATATATAAATGTATGATGATATGAAAAAGGGAACTAAGTTTAATGATGTTGAACTCTATGAGTAGAAGTTATGTGATTATAAGTAACATGATTATGTGATCACAAGATATGATACATGATATGAGATATATGAAAGAGAAAATATATGTTATATGAAATATTATATGACTATGCGATTATATGGAAATGTTCTACGCGTAAGTGAACCATGTGTTTATATGTATATGGGATATGTGATTTATATGACGATGAGCTATGTGAAAGAACTACATGACTATGTGTATATGTGAATGTATGTTAACATAAATATTAATGCCCATGTTATGTGTCATGAGAGCTAGGGGTATAGTTGGCATGCCAAGAGTCGAGGGTCTACGCGGTCCTTCGGGACATATATGTATCCTTTGGAACATGTGTGAAGTCTGGGGAGACACATACTTGATCCTTGGCATATGTATATGATTCTTAAGGAATGATATGTGGTCCTTCGGGATATATGTATTCTTTGGAACATGTGTGAAGTCTGGTGAGACACATACTTGATCCCTAGTATATGTATATGATTCTTAAGGAATTATATGTGGTCCTTATGGACATTATTATATGGCATTACGGTGCAATTCTACGCGGTACTCCGGTGCAATTCTACGTGGCACTTCGGTGCAATTATACGAGTTGTGGTGACAGCATAGTGCACAACCTCTATAGACTCACATATCTATAGTTCTCACATGTGTACATGGGCTTTGAAAAGAGAACATAATTTGATATAATGATATGTGTATTTCTCGTGACATGGTAGAAGTGCATATATGTCATGGTGATATGAGATGCTTTGCGTTTATGTATTATATGATTATAGAAATTAGTAATGTATTGTGGCATATTAAAATATATATATAATATGCTTATATTCATTATATGCTCATATGACGGAATTGAAGTAATGACAAGGGAATTAGTAAGGATAAACAGGTTGGTGATATGAGAACAATGTATGTGATATATGTATATGATGTGTGATATGTGATATGAATTGCATGATATGATATATGTGTGATAGGGGTTATGGTATCTGTTACATAATATACAAGAATATATGTTGATGTATATGTAATTGAGTTGTATAATTTGATAGCATAAAACAGTCATGCATGATTAGTGGGTATGAATTCCATTAGATGTGTTTTCTTTATGCCTCACTAAGTCATCGACTTAGCATGTGAGTGTTTCACACGCAGGTTACAGAAAGTGAATATAGAAGCTGTGAGGAGCAATATAGGTCAGCATCTCCCTTACAAAATTTCAAATAAGAAAATAGAGGATTTAAATGTTTTTGGTTATTTTGAGTATAGTTGGCATGTACTAATTGGTTGAATTAAGTATGCTCTGATTGATTTTGGTTATGATGGTCAGTTTATGTAACTAAACCGCTTTTACTTTAATGAAATGTTTAAATTTTCTTTGAATTTTGTCAAGAGTCAAAGTTTGAAAAGTCAATGTGACACCTCATACTCGTATGTGGGTCGGATACGGGTTGGGGGTGTTACTTGTGAAATCCACCGGCCTTTCACTGATATGCTAGACAACCGTCTTTCCTCAGGATGACCTTCATCTTCAATTTTCACAATGAGAAATTTCTCCCATTGAATTTTTCAATATTAAATTTCGTTACCATAGCTTCTTTTACGGATAGCTCCCACTATTTCACTATCGTGAATAGTTCTCTGGAACTTTTAAAGAATGGGTAATAACTTCTTATTTTCTTATGTTGGGGGATCCACCTTTTGGTGGCAACCACAAAGACAATAAGCAGATATTACACACTCTAATCTGGCTCGGATACCAATTGTTGCGGAAGACGGCTATCGGATAGAGCAAAATTGCAACTGATAATTTGAGAAAAAAAATGAAGATAAAAGTGACATAAAATTTACGTGGAAAACCCCTAAATAATATAGGGTAAAAACCACGGGCAACGGTAGAAGAATTTCACTATGAGAAAATAGGAATTACAACTTCTCTCGATCTACTAAGGAGAAAACAATGATAATTTTCTCTTGATAAAAAAGAGAAAACAACTCTCAAGAAACTCTCTAAATTCTTTAGTATTGTAAGAAATCTAGAATGCTTTAGGATGGTTTTGAAGCTAAATGGGTTAGGGTATTTATAGTTGAAGCTTAAGGATTAATCTTGTAAATACCCTAAAGTTCAGTGACTAAATATAATTATCCCTTTAACAAATATTCAACAAAATTGGCTAATAATAATTTTTTTTTTCAAAGCCACCGGTTGCCATGTGGTTTTTTATTTTTCAACACAAATATGTAAGTGAACTAAAATTGTTTTTTTTTTTTGCCCTGGGAAAATGGCTATAAAAATGTTTTGGTTTTGAAAACTTGTTAAAATATGGACAAATTCTTGTGTTGTCTGTATGAACTACTTAAATTGCTTTTAGGTTTTACTTTCATTAATGTACTTCAAGTATCCAAGAGACATTCATCAAATGAATTCACAAGCTTTTCCTTTTCCTAAATTGATGTGAGTGGTTAATCTGCGGTGATAGAGAAATGGGGGTGCATCTAAATGAACTTTCACAACAATTGAATGTTCCCATAGGGAAGATCAAGTACCTTTTGTTTTTCTTTTGATTTGTGGGTTATGGTTGAGTAATTGATGTCAAATCACTAATAATTGGGGTTCGAAAGCCATGGAAAAGGTAAACAAAATGTATTAATTCATAAATTGACATATGAAATATGCATGCCTATAGTACATGCAACAATTTGCGTTGCCCTTTGAAAATAAGGAGAAAGAAGGACGTCCCACGTGCAGTCACACCTGGGACGACAGACAGTTTCGAAAAATAACACGTCTTTTTGGAACAGTAGCAGCAATTCGTGGCATTGGATGAAGTGTACCGATCTGCTTCACGTGATACCCCATATGCCTCACTCTCCCACTCCCTTGGCTTGGGCCATCCGGCCCCAGCGCCTATCATAATCCACCCTAACACTTGGTCTTTTCCATTTCTTTATGATTCCATGGCTCCCCCTCTCTCTATTTATATCAAATCTTGCTTTCAGATATTCTTTCTCTACTTCTCTCCCTCCCCCTTTCAGATAATATTAGTCGCTCTTTGCAAAATAAAAATAAAAAAAGGGTAAACTTGTCACTATGTCATTTACATAGGAATAAATCATAGCTAGCTGGATGATCATCACTTCAAAGCATTACCCTGTAAATTAATATCCCAACTCATATTATGTTCTCTTTATATAAAACTGATACGTAATCATGCGTATATAAATGTTTAATCGGGTGGGAAGTTTTTTGAATCGTTTCTCAACTTATACTCGTTATAAGTAATGCGTCCTTCATTTTGTGCCGGCCGGCATCACCAACCCTTGCGTTGTTGTGGGTATTTTCTGATCATTGATGGCCACTTACTCCACATCAATCAACACAATTCTGTAAATATAGATCGCTAGCTGATTGATGATGGTAATAGATGTTTGAAAAAGCAAATTCTGACAAACATCATTTACAGACACTTTTTAGTTGGTCTTGTCTCTTCGACAAAATAACTGTTGTATAAATCCTCCTCTGCAGGCTGACATGGCAGAGAGTGATGGGATTGATGGAAAAATCACAAGAAATTCAGCCTTGATCGTTATGATATACTATCAAAGATTAGGCAGTAGTACATACAAGCATGAAACAAAAAGCAATCCATCATACAAACTTATTACAAACAGTAGTTGTCTTATTCTTTTCAATTCCCTGATAGAGGAGATTGAAAGCACCTGAGAGAGTTATAATGCATGATACGTAATATACATATAGAGAGAGCTGTGATGATGAGTAGTGTCGAGTGTGACAGTCACATGTCCCGTACGTGGAAGACGTTGGGATTCTTAACAACGATATCATACATGTGAACGGAGCAGAACTTGGAGAAGTCTTTAGGAAGAGAAATGAGATCAATGGAGGAGTGCTTGTGGAACTGGTAGAGTTCAGGGTCACCCCCGTAGTACCTCTCCCACCCTAAACCTCTCAAAATGCGGTCCAAGGACGAGTAGGAAGCCACCACTTCACCCGACGGTAAGTGCACCAAAACCCGTCTCCGGGGACTACTTTCAAGCCGATATACACCATTGTTGAACACCCAAACCCCAGCCATTTTGGTTTCCTTTTCAATGTGTTCGAGAAAAGTCAATGAAGGTAGTTTGTTATGTTGGTGGGGAGGGAAGGAATGATTGGGGGGGTATATATATACGTGTGCTGACGGGACACATAAAATCAGTGAAGAGGGGATGATAAGTGACGATGTTGATAGGTTAGGGCGTGTTTGGGTTCGGTGGAGAATCTAGATACTGTGGGACCTTCGTCCCCTTAGGTTCAAATATGAATGAGGGTACACAGATGCCTTTAGGATGTAATTTAGGGTACATACCATCCATCCACCCGTGGGGTGTGTATGTTTGTGTTTGCAGAAAGAATCTCCTTTTCTTCATATTTTAATTTAGTAATAGTTTATTATATATGCGCATATAGAATAAATAAAGGTAACCCAAGTATGATTTTAATCGAGATTCTGGCGACACTTTTTTTTTTTCTTCTCTCAAAGTGGCTTTCAGGTATACATAATGATAATTTATTAGGTTTGTGTTTTATACAATGAGACTTTTAAATTCACATGCACAGATTATGAATAACTGATTTAAATTTTATTTAAATAAATGAATTTATTATAATGTTTTTATATAAGTTAGTATTTAAATTTAATGATTTTAAAAATTAATATTTAAATTTTTTCTTAAATTGATATATAAATCTAAAAAGAATTTTTAAATTAGTTTTTAATTTTTATTAAAAAATCACATTTATTTTTAGTGTTAATATAATATTTCATCGATAAATTAAACTGTATTATCATTTTGATTAGTTAATACTATTTCAGCATCCTAATAGATTATTGTTGGGATATTAAATTCATATAAATATCAATTTAAAAATACTTTTTAAATTCATATAAATATCAATTTAAAAATACTTTTTAAAATTTAATATTAATCTTAAAAATTAGGTGTTAAGTTTTCAAAGTTGTCATACCAAGTTGTGTAACAAAACTTTATTATAATTTTAATAAATAGTAAAATTTTATAGTTTATTAACTTATAATCAATACTTCAAGTATGAAACAATAGTGAAAAAGGGCAGGCGTATGTCTGCAGTCGAAATGTAGGGTGTAGCCCACTTACTTGCATCACAAGATGCCCACGTGAACCTGTCACTGAATTTGGTTTGGATGTGGCTGAAATTTAATTTATTTATTTTGTTTCTAATTTTCCTTTTGAATTAAATTGCTTAATCAATGCGTATGATGAGTGACAGGAGAGACACCTTGTCTATGTGTTTCTTACTCATCATTGGCTATCAATCGTTTGAAACCTTAAAAAGTCAGTTCTACTCTTGTTGCCTTCTTTTCATTTATTATTATGTAATGCACAACTTTATTAATTAGATAATTATTTTTATTTTTTATTTTAAATAAATTAACTGTCATTTTAATCCCAAACATATTTTTATATGCACATCTTTTTTAATATAATTTTGGTCCTATAGTAATGTTTATTATAATTTAATTTTGATAAATCTACGTATACTTTATAAATAAAATTGTTCTAATTAATATTACTTAAAAGAAATATTGCATCATTCATAATTAAAATCACTCTCACTCGACTTTAATTTATTTACCTCCCCTTAACCAGTTAGGTGTAAAACCTAATTAGAGTTTTCAAATATGAATAGTTGATCTATAATTAATTTATAAATTAACAATAATTATTATTATTTATTAAAAGAGTTAAGGAAAGAATATGAATATTAATATTTATCACTTTTGAAAATCTGTATCAAGGATGGAAGTGGGATTAAATTACAAGGGGTTTATCGTTTAACTTTAAAATAAATGTGGTCTAAAAAGTAATTAAATCATAAAAATTAAGAGATTAAAGATTTAATTTCATAAATTTTAAAACTCAAAAGTCTTAAAAATAATTAAATCGGACAAATTTGAGGTAAATGTCTAATTCTCTTAATTTTAAAACTAACAGAGTCTTAAAAATAGTTATATCAAAAATCATGAAAGAGATTGCAATAGTTATAATCAAAGTTAGGGGATTATCGTCTCTCCCACCTATAACATAATTCCATCCCTGATTTGTATCATCTCTAATCCGCTAATAGCCATTAATTGTTATGCGTATACATTTACTTGGTGAAAAAGCAAGAAAACCCACATGACATCACATGGACTATATCTGTAAAAAGAAATAGTACAGATAAGATGGTCCACACTGAGTCACTCAGTGTGAGGCCAGGCAGCTTGGCAAAGACCAAAAGAGCTCATAACCCGTGTTGTCAAAATCTTTCGTATTCATTAATTACCATCAACTTTGAAACATTACCCAACTCCGAATAAATACGACGCTTCTGTCTGTGTCTTCGCTACAAAAATGAAAACTCTTCAGCCCATTTTTTTCAAGTAATTCGGACTCTTAATTTCTTTTATATCAACCTTAAATTTCAGAAAAACTAAAAATATTAAATGTGTGAGATAGTGGTTTAAGGTCAAGGGATTAAATAAAGATAATGGTATATCAGTTGATTGATTATGTTTCACTTTTTTTCCTGATGTGAATAAATAGTCATAACTAAAAATAATTATTTAAATATAGATTTTCAAATGAGAAGAATTGAGAGAGAAAAAAAGATTTTTTAAAGAAAAAAAAGATTCGACCCTTTTTTTTAAAAGAGAAAGTTCAATTTTATACTTTGTATCCTAAGTGTCACGTGGTGGAATGGACGAAAAATTTGATTAATCTAGGGTAATTATATGATAATATATGTTCTAAAGACTCTCAACCATTTGACAATAGAAACTCAAACACCATTGCAGTCTATAGTGCTCAAACCTCATATTTATATTTTTCAATTGACAGCTAATGAATCTATCTCATTGAGATATAAGTTGTTCAATAGTGAACTGACTGCATCCATCCAGATATGTTCTGTGATTGAAAAAATCTTACTCTAAATTATATTTACTAACTCTAAAAAGCTTATTGTTCCGATGTAGCACCTCTAAAGCAGAGTTCATAGCATCAATATTGGTGTAGAACCTTAAATAACAATAATAATCTTAGCTTATAGAAATAATAAAATGATTTATTTTGTTTATAGAATATATTGATTTAGTTGGGTATACATGTTAGTCAGCAGTGGTCCTCAATTCCTTTGGTTCCAAACCTTTGTTTATATGTTTTCCTCTTTAAGCATAACCAAAGGCACCATGTCCTAAATGGAACACGCCCTCCCATCCCCCGATTCATGGTTTGGTAAATTCATATCCTACACTATGCATGTGTATGTGTATTCGAAATACTATACTAGCATTCTTTTTCGTACACACTACAACACGAGTCTTTGCCTTCCTCACGGAAAGGGAAGACGTGCACATAATGAGAGATCCATAAATATTTTTATATTAACAATAAAAAATTATAATTGGAATAAACATTATCACTAAAATAGATAACAAACTATATAAAAAAATTCAAATTTTAGAATAGACATATACGCACTCTAGAAAAGCTCTGGATATGCCACTACATGCATATATGAGGTTAGCTGGTTTGGAGTAAAGTTTCATGTTTGAATTTTGATGGTTGCATTTTTTACATCTTAATTCATCTTGAAGATTAAACTTTTGAGTTATTAAATTACTTCAAATTAAAATGATAATCAAATTGATATAATTTTAAAATATTGATGATTTTTTTAAAATATTCTAATTTAGGATTAAATTAATAAAATGTATAAGTCTAAGGACTAGAATTACTATTATAATGATATACTAATATAATATAAAATGAAGCAAAAAAGTATGCAACCCAGATGAGCAATGAACACGAGAATCCATCGAATCCCACCGAACTCGCGTAATATACAAGTATAAGAGGGTGAGGGCATATATACTCACTAATAAATTAAGTAAATAAATATATAAAGCAAGGTTAGGTCATTTATATATTTTGTGTAGCACAAAAGTAAAGTCAATAATTAGCTGTATTAGTAACCCAGAAATAGAAAATTATATCATCGAAGGAATGATGCAAAAGCTAAGGGGAAAGGGAAGAAATGGATAAAATTTTGAACTGTTCCTCGTTGGAGTTGGGATAAGTAAATTTATTTGGTGATTCCGTAATCCTTTTGTAAGTATAATTCCCTTCTCGAAACTTATTTGATAGCAAAGCCAGAGGGAATATTTTTTTTTATAGAAAGGGACTATTGTATTTATCATTGAATTGTGTGTATAATATACTTTGTCAAATGACCATAGTTCAGTTGGAATTTCAGTAACCATTAGCATTGTTTTTAGAAATAAAATAACTCAAACACTCCTTTTTTAAGAATATCATTTTTGTAATTAAAAAGGTAATGTTTTACTTAAAAAAGCAATCAATCATTTTTAAAAATAGTATATTTTATTTAGGTATTGTCATATTATTAAACCAATGAAACCCATTAGAACAAAGCAGTTACCATTAATGATAAAACAATATGTTGATATTAAATTATTATTATATTGAGAAAATAACATAAAAACAATATAATATTTTTAGAAGAAAATAAATAATTTACGGGGACAAGATAATTAAATATATATAGTTTTTAGATATAAAGAGTTAAAATTATTAAATTATTTTAAAATAAGATTAAATTAATAAGATATGTAAATTTTTAGGATAACAATTGTTAATACATCAAATCATGTTATTAGTATCTATTTGAAAGATTCAACAATTTGATAGCAAATGTCCAAACACTCCTATAACTAATGTGTTTGAACCCATGACCTTAAGAATATATAATCATACCTTAATCATCGTGATCAATTTATTTGTACAATTGAACTAATAATTAAATAACTTAAAATGTATTTTACGATAGTCCTTAATAGATGCAACCATAAGTAACCGAGAAAATAAGCCGAAGCCGAATACAGATAAGCTCGAAGCCCCACCAACAACTATTGTCAATCGTAACTTATAAATCAAACGGGTTGCTTTTAAGCTGTCTGCACAGTTTTATGTGTTTGGCATGTGCAATAGCAATAGCAATAGAAGCATACAAACGCTAATCTAACCCTGCTTTCACACAAACGTAGACGAGGAAAGAGAAAAGGATGGCTTAAGAATTCAGATCACAATTTTAAATTCTTCAAAACAACACAGTTAACAAAAGCGAGACTTGAAGTTGTTTGGCCTACGACTACAAGCACAGCCTGCCAATGCTATCAAATGTAACCATGTCTAAGATCATTCTTGACTTCACAGCATTACATTAATGTTCAACAAAATTAAGATGAATATAGACAAAATGAAGTTTTGTTTTCACCAACACATGTTGGTGAATCAGGCAAAACAATTACAACGGGCTCCAAACTTCATACACCCTTGGTCTCTTTCATTTAATCTTTTCGATGATATCCGAGATCACCTCCTCCATGTCAAGATCCTTCATCGGTTTAAATGGTCTCTTCATGTCCTACAAAACAAATATAAATCTATCTTCACAGAAAACAACCAGAGCATATTGTGTCTATTTTCTGTCAAGAACCATGACGCAGAAAGTCATTTATCATCTTATCAAAACTAATTCATATGAAAACTCTAATTTTCTCACAGATAAGATAACTATATATGAAGTGAAAGAAAAATAAATTAGCTGGTCATAAATATTGCAAGATGAAAATTTACCAACAGACTTATGAATGTCTCTCCGCCTTCCTCTCGTATTTCAAAGCATCCTCTTCTTGGCTGTTGGAAATTTGGAAAAAGAAATAAGAGGATAGATCAACCATGAAAAAAACACTGAACCGGGGGGGGGGGAATTCCAGGAAAAGAAAATACAGAAGAATCTTTATACCAGAATGGAAATCAAAAGCACATATAAGAACACTGGTAGCCAAAGACATAAAATTCAAGAAACCATACATAGACAATGATCTAGGCATCACCCTTTTTAACATATTGAACTAGACTCTTGTAAAATTGATCAAGAACTAAATGCAACATTCCCCGCAAGTACATAGAAATGTTTGGAGTTAAGTACAACTAAACATTGAAAATAGTAGCTCAAAATGTGGTTAGAAATGCAGTCCAACTGCACACATTATGTATGAATACGATTTCAACACACAACAAAAACTAAATGGTCTTTTATCTTGAATAAGAAGGATCTTTGAATCTCACGGGAATTAAACAAAATCAAATTCAAAAGTTCATCTTCTTCTTTTTTAATAAAACCAATTGTCAGACAGAAAAAGCATCATCAGTTTAAGCCCTCATGGTGCATATGCATCAAAAAGCTTGTACGCACATGTTTTACAGGTATTAAACAGAACCTTCTAATGTATGCTTCAATAGAGTTGAAATAACACAAACATGAATGCCTGTAGACAATAGATGATTAAAAGATTTTTTTCAGGAAAAAAAGAGGATGTGTTCACTGCAAACCAGATATATGAGGTTTAACCTTTTCAGGGTTGAGCGACACTTTGACGCCAGGAACACCTTTCTCCAAACCATTTTTGACTTGAAAGGCCCTTGTCTTGAATGAATTGCATTGCTTGCTAGAGAAAATGAATCATAAAACAAAGGATGTCAAGCAGCATAAAGAAGGAAACATTCCAAACAAAATTTCATTCAACCCAATCCATTAAAATAAAACTATGTCCAAATGCCCGAAACAAAATGGGAAAAGGGTTTGCTGCTCTTTTTCACACAAATACTTGCTACTTCATTTCATGTTCCTTATTGTTACAAAACTAAAGGGGGATTCTTCTAGACCAATTAATTTTGGACTCAACCAAGTTCGGACTTTGGAGTCGAGCCTAAATGAAGGAAACTCTACCAGTACTTTATTGTCCATTGACCTTACAAAAGAAGCATCAACCTCCATCAACTTGACCTAACAGGGGCTTACTTAAAACTACGTAAAAAGATGAATCCAAGTAAACAAGGGGCGGTTATTAGTTACAGAGGACATAACTAAGCACTGATACAGTAAAAGTAGAGTTTTGTTTCAAGACGTTATGTTCAACGTCCCCGGAAGTTTACAAGCCACAGCACAGTTATTAGTTTGCTTGGCGAGCAATAAACTATGAACAATGATTATTTAACGTTAGCCAAAAGTTTGACAACCGTTTCAAAACCCTAAACATAGAGAAATCCAAAATGGTCATCAGAATTCAGAACAATAAAAATATTTGCAACATTACAACCTCAACTAGTCGTGCCGTGTTCATTTTTTTTTTCTCGCAAAAAAAACCTTAAATTTTAATCTTCCATTTTTTGGAGGGGAAATCAGTGAAGAGAAACTTACCAGTGTTCAATTACTACAGTCTTGTTGCAGGATCCGCCGTCAGAAGCAGTCAACCCCTCAGACGAAGCTTTGGCTGTGTCAGCAGCATTCTCCAAAGATTCTTTTTTACTCTTAGGACTCAGCTTCGTCTTCGTCTTAGCCTTCGCATTTGCTTTTGCTTTTGGTTTCTCCTTGTTGGGTTGAGCCTTGCCGACCGGCTGACTTGCCATGCTTCTAGTCACTCTTTTCACCGCCTCTACAACTTGAGGCTTGGCTTGCTCCTCGTCCCCTTCCGTCGCCTTTCGTTTCGAGACCCTCGGCGCCATTTTCAGTTCTTTCTTTCTCTTCAATCTATTCTTACTTCGTTGTGGTTTGGCTTTTGTGTTTTGGCGATGAAAAACAGCAGATATATTTTTTTCCCGCTCTTCATAAATGGGGAATTTGAACGGACGACTGGGATCAACTCGATTGTTTCTTCCTTCAATGATCCTGACCCTTCGTGCTACCTGCTTTAAGTACTGGTCTCTATATTAGGGATGTGCATAAATATTCGACCCGGTTGACATGACTCGCAGATACGTCCATCCGAACTTAAAAAAAAGGTCATTTTTTAAAATAAATTATCCGATCAGGATACCGGCCTGACATTTCCCGAGTCATGCCCTAATCAAAGTTGTTTCATGAAATATTCAAACCCGCAGACTTATGCATACTACCTTTATACTTATTGGGCTAACGATGATGACGTCCAAAAAAAACTCTTAACATTGGAAAGGTATGATGTTAAAGTAGTATTTAATTTGTATTTTCAAAACTTTGAATTTGAAATTTGGATTTACTATTTACTATTATTATATATTTAATTATTAATAATATTATATATTAAATTAAAGTAAATAATTATTTTTTAGAATATTTTAAAGTAACACCAGGTATTCATATATATATAATAATATAATATTATTTTATATATAAAAAAATAATCCTTAAAATTAAAGTAAACAACTATTTTTTAGAACATTTCAATATATGGGATTTTTTTATATAAAAAATAATATTATATAGTAAATTAAAGTAAATAATTATTTTTTAGAACATTTAAAAAAATAGGGTATTCGGGTGCCCGCAACAATTGGGTCGGGACACGGGTCGAGAAATCAATTCCCCAAAGATCCGAGTACCCGAAAACCCAGGTAGCCGGATTTGCACACCTCTACTCTAGATTCTATGGGTGAGTAAAAATATTTGATTCAAATAATTCAATATGTTTATTCGATGATTCGATCTAAATATTTGAATATTCAATTTGAATTCTTTTGGATAATTTAGATTAAAAATCCAATAAGTGATACAAATAACTGAATTGGACGATTACCAACCCCTAACATTGGTCTCTTCCTAAAGAATACATTAATTATTTTTTAGCAAAATTACCCCTTAACATTTATATGAATGATTATGTTGCATCTTATTCTTCTTTTTGAAGTATTTTACCCCTTAATATTTTAAATTTTTGTCAAAACATACCTTATTGGATGAAAACGTTAGTTGACTAATGATCAATTCATATTGTTGACATGACTTTTTTACATGTGTCCAATTGCTAGCATAACACATAGCATATCATTATTTTGGATGATATAGCACGTGTCATATCATCTCTTTTGGTAACGTGTTATGTGTCACCACTTTTCATGACGTGACATCGTCACTTTCAATAACACATCACATGTCATGTCATCACTTTCGATGGTGTGTTACATGACATGTCATCAAACGAACAAATGTAAAAATGACAAGTTAGTCAACTAACACTTTCTATCCAACACGATATGTTTTGACTAAAAATTGAAACGTTAGAAAAAACACTCCAAAAGAAAAAACAAAGGACAAAATAACCGAATTGGACGATTACCGACCCCCTAACATTGGTCTCTTCCTAAAGAATACATTAATTATTTTTTAGCAAAATTACCCCTTAACATTTATATGAATGATTATGTTGCATCTTATTCTTCTTTTTGAAGTATTTTACCCCTTAATATTTTAATTTTTTGTCAAAACATACCTTATTGGGTGAAAACGTTAGTTGACTAATGATCAATTCATATTATTGACATGACTTTTTTACATGTGTCCAATTCCTAGCATAACACATAGCATATCATTATTTTGGATGATGTAGCACGTGTCATATCATCTCTTTTGGTAACGTGTCATGTGCCACCACTTTTCATGACGTGACATTGTCACTTTCAGTAACACATCACATGACATGTCATCACTTTCGATGATGTGTTACATGTTGTGTCATCAAACGAACAAATGTAAAAATGAAAAGTTAGTCAACTAACACTTTCTATCCAACACAATATGTTTTGACTAAAAATTGAAACGTTAGAAAAAATACTCCAAAAGAAAAAAAAACAAGGGACAAAATAACCGTTTGTACAAACATATAAGGGTATTTTTATAATTATGCTTATTTTTTATGAACATTTTTTTAATTCTTTTTTTAAGATTAAAATATGTATGGTTAATTAAATTGAAAATCGGTAGTTATACAAAATAACAGTAAGATTCATTTTTGAAAATTCAAATTTTATCAGTTATATTTGTAATGTGCTATTATAAATTATTATTTTTTAAGCAAATATATTATAATCACAAAAAATAATACAAAATATTATAACTTGAAAGTGTCGAAGTAAAACAAAATATTAAACATAGGAAGCACTTGACAATGTTCAAGTCAAACAGAATATTAAATAGAGAAAATAACCCCAGTGACTAAAAATCCCATATAATATACGATTTTAACCAACTTTTTCCGGATTTGCCAAAATGACCAACAAAATCGCAATGCGATCGCTAATTCGCAACGTGATCTCCATTATCGCAAATCAGTTTCCAGATTCGCAACGAGATTATGACTATCGCAATACGATTTTCCAATTTCGCGTTGCGATTTTCCCAATTCGCAATGCATCGCAATGCGAATAAGTAAATCGCAATGCAAATTTGGAAAATCGCAATGCGATACTGACTATCGCAACGAGATAATACAAAATCGCAACGCGATACTGACTTTCGCAACGAGATAATACAAAATCGCAACGCGATACTGACTTTCGCAATGAGATTCTGACTATCGCAACGAGATAATACAGAATCGCAATGCGATTTTCAAAGTTCGCAATAGGTTTTAGTTTCGCAACACAAATTTTTTGGGTATATATCTACGCAGCAGCAACAACTCATAACCTAAATCCCTAAATCGCAACTCATTCCATCTCCATCTATCACTCTCTCCGGCGACATCCGTTCCTACATCCTTCCCCATCCTGCAACATGTCTTAGTTTCGCAGCTCGTTTGTTTAGTAAATTAATTTACAACCATGAAATCATCTAATGTTGATCATGTTTGGATAGATTTGTGTTTTGGAGGGTCATGAGAGAATGTTCATGGTGTTTTACAATATATGCCTTTACCCATGAATCTTCAACTAAAACTGTCATTAAAAAAGTTAACTTATGAAACTCTAATGTTACGTGTTTCAAAGAAATTGAATTTAGAGCCCCTAAGTGGATTTAGGTTATCTTATCAGAGAAATGGTAAAGTTTATTTGTTAACCGACAATGAAGATGTTGAACGATTCATTGCTTACATTAGTGTTTCAAGTGATGATGTTACATTGTATGTTGTTGAACCTAGAAATAATATTGTTGGGTCAGTAGCGGGTAGTAATCAACTAAGTTTTTCTCAAAACCCACAACCTTTCTCTAATCCAAATCCCAATCAACTTTCAGCACCAAATTCCGGTTTTCGTATTGACCAATTAGACGATGATGAGACAACAGAAAAAATTGTGAGTACTAGTCAGTATTCAAAATTTGATCTTGGTCAATACCCGGACTTTGATATTGGTCAATACTCGGATTTTGATGATGTTTCAGAAGAAGAAACAGACCCTGCGTGTAATGATTTTGATATTGGTCAATACCCGAATTTTGATGATGAAACAGCCGTTGTCGAGGAAGATGTTGTTGATGATAATGAGGAGGAAGTTACGACTGTGAATGAACATGTTGAATATCCATTCTGTAATTCATATAATCCTGAAGAAGAAAAAGAAGAAGAAAAAGTCCCCGAAGAAAAGAAAATGCCACGGGAGTATAACGGAATATGCCAGAATTACTTCAGATACCGGAAGAAGAGTTGGTAAAGAAAGCAGTTGATTGTTACACAAAAGTTATTCGTATCAAGAAAGATGATTGTTTTGATACAAAGGAAGACTTGATGATAGCTTTGTATACGAAATGTGTGGAAGATGGCTATCAACTAAAAGTTAACAAATCAAGCAAAGATTGTTTCGAAACAAGGTGTATGATTGACAAAAACTGTAAGTGGCGTATGATTGCAAAGAGGATAAAAGATTGCGAAATGTTTCAAGTTAGGACTTTTATTGATAAACATACATGTTCAAGAACCCAAGTTTTTCCTCACCATAGACAAGCAAACAAAAAGGTGTTGGGTGGTTTTCTGGCTGAGTTAATGTTTTTGAATGGCAGGGTATATCGGGGACATGAAATTATGACTGACATGAATGCTTGGTTCAAGATTAGTATATCATATTCTCAAGCTTGGAGAGCCAAATGTTATGCCTTGGAATTGTTGAGGGGGTCACCAGAAGCATCGTTTGCCTAACTACTGGCTTATTGTCACAATTTAAAGCTGAAAAATCCTGGGTCGATAACTCATATCAAAACAGATAGAGATGGACGCTTTGAGTTGCTGTTTATCACCATTGGTGCTGCGGTTAGTAAATCAATATAATTATGTTGACTCATTTTTGTTAGTTACATGCATTTCACATTTAAATGATTATATTTCTTGTGTATATTATTTTGTAGATTCGTTCGTTTATTACTTGCATGCGCCCAGTTATTATAGTTGACGGAGCACATTTGAAAGGTCGATACCTTGGAGTAAACTTATTAGCAGTAGCCATGGATGCTAACAATGGGATATTTCCAATAGCTTACGGGGTTGGCAAATCTGAAACCTCTGATTCATGGACATGGTTTATGGGATATCTTAGGGATTGCATAGGTCCTATTAGCAATCTGATAATCATATCCGATAGGGCAAACTCAATTGACAACGCTGTTAGAAGGTGTTTTCCAGATGCTTTTCATGGACTTTGTGGTGTTCATTTGTATAGAAATCTAAAATCAAGGTCTGCTGGTATAAAAAATCACAAATGGACATACTGGAATGCTGTAAAAGCTTATCGGGAAGTGGATTTTAATAAGCATATAAACTGTTTAAGACGTGTTTTGCCTCAGTGTGCTCAAACACTAGAAGATGTCGGGTTTGAAAGATGGTCAAGAGTACATCAACTTGGATCAAGATATGGTTTCATGACATCTAATAGTGCAGAATCAATCAACGCTCTAAGTCGTCATTCCCGGAAATTACCCATTACTATGTTAATGGAGTTTTTTCGAGCCTCTATTCAACAGTGGTACTACAAGAAATGAAACCATGCAGGTATTATTTCTTTAAATTCGTAACTTATCATATATTTTACTAAGTATTATTTATTTAAATTTACAGGAACATTGAAACATCGTGTTACACCATGGACAGAAAAAAAGATAACGAAACGTGTTGTGAAGTCAACGTCATGGAGAGTTGAACCATGTTCAAACACTTTGTTTGAAGTACTGGATAATAACTTAAATGGGCTTGTCGATCTAAATGCAAAGACGTGTAGCTGTATGAAATGGCAAACATCTGGTTATCCGTGTGGCCATGTTATAAAAGTTTCTCTTCATCTAAACCAAGATGATTCAAGCGCATACGCTATGGATTGCTACACTACAGAAGTATATCGACAGACTTATGGCGAGATTGTCTACCCTATTCCACATCCTTCTGAGTGGGACATACCAGATGACTTACAAACAGTTTTTCCACTAGCCATGGACAGAAGGCTACCTGGTCGACCAAAAAGTCACGATCGTATACCGTCTAAGGGTGAAGAGAAGAAGAGATCAATATGTAGTCGGTGCAAGGAAAGTGGTCATACAAGGTTGACATGTGGATCACCAGTGCCATCACAATCATCTTTTCCTCTACCAAAATATGGATCCTCATCAAAATCCAAAGCTCATATGGTGTCAAGAAAAAGGTAATCAAAATCGTAATCATCTTTAAAATCCCAATCATAACTGGCTTCACCTTTTGGGACTGTTAACTTAGGTGATTTTTAAATGCAAATGTTGTATTATGTAGATTTTATGTGTGAACTTTTAACATTTTCAGTTAGGCATGTATTAGTAACTTGAGTTTGAAAATTGCTATGATATGTTCAGTTGTTATCACTTATTAGGCAATCATTTGACTATCGCAACACGGAAATGACGTTCACAATCATCTTAATGTCTATCGCAACGCGGAAATGACTATCGCAATGAGAAATGAAAATCGCAATGAGAGAATCGCAATGCGAAATGAAAATTGCAATGCGAAATGAAAATCGCAACGAGAGGATCGCAATGCGAAATGAAAATCGCAACGAGGGAATCGCAAAGCGAAATGAAAATAGCAACGCGAATTTAGTTTCGCGTTACAATTTTAGTTTCGCGTTGCGATTTTCATTTCGCGTTGCGATTCTCTCGTTGCGATTTTCATTTCGCATTGCGATTGTCATTTTTGCCTTCAACATAATGCAGATTGAAATCAACAAAGTCAACCATTACATTTCAATCAATTAAACAATCACAAATAAGAATTATGTTCACATCAATTAAACAAATCAACTTTTACAAATCATCTTTTACAAATCAATTAAACAATCAAAAAATAAGCAATAATTCTTATTTCCTCATCTACTATTGAATCAACTTTTGCAGCCATACATCATTTTCACGCAGCTCACTTCTGAGAATAACCTGCAGAAACCAAACATTTGCTCAAACAACACTTTCTACACATCTAAAACCTACAAACAACAAATTATTGAATTATAGGTACTTAACCAAACATTTTCAAACCACAAGCCTATAAACTTACCAATTGTTTATGGACATTTTTATAACGCGGATGCAGGTAGGCAGCGTCTCGTATATATCGATCTAGCCATATAATGCCGAAACCACAAGCCTACTGTAGCTCTATCTCTATCGGTGGGAGGTAGATATTTTATACTTCATGTGATCAAACACTCCAACTCCAAGCATACGAGAGGACCACAATCCCCTCTGGGTCCTTTCGTTTGTTGTGGTGCGGTCTCGTCTATGCTAACTGTAATATTGAGCTTCTTTGGCTTCTTGTTTCCAGAACGAGTCTAATAATTTATCGCATCCAAGAATTTAGCCAAATGAGAGATCCATCCCTTAATAATATCTCTTAAATCATCCAATGATATGTAATTTATCATGTTGTCATATACTATTGCCTTAAGGGATGGGAGCTGAAGCTCGACGAGAAGCCAATGTTTACGTTCCAAAACAGGGATAAACACCTGCAATCATAAGTAATAATTCATTCATTTGCGCACTTATTTATGAATACCTTTAAACTCAATCTAAAATAAATACTAACCTTATCGACCTCCCACCATGCAGGATAAAGTTTAGCTTGTCCATTGCCCAACGTAAATGATTCATCTCGTTGATTCTTCAAGTGAACGACGTTAAAAGACGTCGGCATAATTGTATATCGTGTATTTCTTTTATTTTCCTTAAGTTTCCTAATTATTAGAAGACGTTACACCCACGCATCAATATGTTGTTTTACAAAAAAATACATATATTAGTAACTTACATAAATTTAAAAATAAATAATCAAATTGAAATATAAGAAAAATATAAGACTTACCCCTCCATCGAAATAGCCATTGTCTTCGACCCCTAATAATACGCCCCACCAAGACTGATCAAGCAACAAATAGATATCATCGTTGAGCTTGTATATGTCAGTGAAACACCCCTGGCTCCGCTCATGTAGATAAAAATCAACTGCGGTCTTAGCCCAAAGGGTGTTATCCAGAATTGTGTCCGGTAGTTGTCTCCTCTCCACTTCAGATACCGGTATGGTACTGGCCGGTAACTCATACGAGAGCCAACTTGAATCCATCATGTCCGGTACGTCAGAGGGTTTCTCAAGAATCCTACATATGACGCCATGTGAATCGGGCTCTTGAATGGTGGGAGGGACATCTTCAACGATGACAGTGGCCTCTTGAACGGTGGGAGGGGACTCTCGAGGAATGATAGGGGCCTCTTCAACGATAGGAGTGGACTCTTGAGGGATGACAGGAGAGTCGGGCTTCTTCTTGCGGTGTCTTCGCACTATTGGGGTGTACGGAGACTTAATAGCACATGCACGCCGTCTGATGCGTGAACTCTGTCGTGCAAGAAAAACCCGACGTAAAGCATCCACCTTATCGGTCCGCTAAATAATTAAATACAAATATCAGTAAATAAACAGACATGATATTTAAACAGTGAAAACAAAGAAAAATATGTTTCAAACTTGCATTGAATTCACCCAAGTCATTATTC